CGACTAGTGGTGTGCTTGAGCTGTTACAAATGGTAAACCTCTTCCTAGCATACGCGTTTTAAAATCGTGAAGCTGATGGTAATACGTAACGGGCCAAAGTGAAAAATATCGACTAGTGGTGGGCTTCAGCTGTTACAAATGATATCAAAACTAGACATGAGGTAATGTGCTAGTAAGAACGCTGGACCTCCAAGGGAGGTAGATTGTGAGATTTCACGTCAGGTGGAGAGGGGAACATTTTAAAAAAAACTATTTAACGATATCGTGAACAAACTATTCCTTATAAGGGTATGTAAACCTCTTCCTAACAGACATGTTTTAAAATCGTGAGGCTAACGGTGATACGTAACGGGCCAAAGTGGACAATATCGACTAGTGGTGGGCTTGAATTGTTACAAATGATAGGAAAGCCAGACATGAAGTAGTGTGCTAACAAGGACGCTGGACCTCTAAGGGGAGTAGATTGTGAGATTTCACGTCGGATGGAGAGAAGAACATTTTAAAATTGTGGGATTGACGACAATACGTAACTGGCTAAAACAGACAATATCTGTTAGCGGTGAGCTTGAGCTGTTTTGAAACTGTGAGGCTGACGATAATATATAACGAGCCAAAACAGACAATATCTACTAAGGGTTCATACACAAATATTTGAATTTACATTTAACGGTTATGAAGCGATTGTCAAAATATGATGATTCCGTTGAATAATTTTTAATTCGGTAAAATATCATTGTAATCTATATACTTCGATTTTAATTCCATTTTAGTCATTGTAATTTTAATGAATCATAAATTTAGTTTATATTTACATTGATTTATTCCTATCGATCATAAATAAACTTTAGTAAAAGTTCATAAAAATCCCGTAAAAATAAACATTCTTCACACGTAAATATAACATCGTAGTATATTGAAAAGGTCGGGTGGTAGATCTAATCACTAATATTTTGAAGCCATTAAGTTTAACATTGCATGAAAAAGATTTAACCGAGCTCCTCACAATCTCTCCTCTCGATTATTTAAGGTTGGATCTGATGTAACTGATAGTTTGAAGGTCGGGATCGGGACGACTTTTCTCTCTCCTCCTATATCAAAAAAACAACTAACACAATATATGAGACATTTTAGACATAGATTCACATTCTAAGCAACCCCACAACCACATCGCCATCATCATAACCGTTACCACAACATCAAGCCTTCCCTTTTATATATATATATATATATATAAAGGAACCATATAATATATATATATAAAAGCTAAGCTAAGAGAGACACATTATTATCAAACATTATCATTTCTCTTCCGACAAGAAATTAGAGACAATATAAACCATTTACACTAAGATGAGGAAGCCTGATTCCGCCGCCGCCGCCAACATCCGTCTTAAGAAGGGTCTTTGGTCGCCGGAGGAGGATGAGAAGCTGATGAGATACATGCTATCCAATGGCCAAGGCTGCTGGACCGACATTGCCCGAAACGCTGGTCTTCTCCGTTGTGGCAAGAGCTGTCGTCTCCGTTGGATTAACTACCTTCGACCCGACCTTAAACGCGGAGCTTTCTCTCCCCAAGAGGAGCGTCTCATTCTCCATTTGCATTCTCTTCTCGGCAATAGGTACTTAAAACTCTCGTTATATTATTCTAAGTTTTTATATTATTTTGTTTCTCGAGATCTTAGTTTACTTGCTTTTAGATACCAAATTCTCGAGGGTAAATGAATTTTGGTTGCCCGATATTACGAAGCCTTGAGTAGGGTCTATAGACAAGACGTCGATTATGAACAAAGTGAAAATGTAGGTCATAATTGTGGCTAATAGGTTTAGTATCATCGAGTGCAAATATAATTAATACAATGAATTCATCACTAGATCCATTCAACTCGATGAATTATTTATCTGTTGGGCACCTTTTTTATTGGTTAAAATTTTCGATTTGACCTAACAAATGCATATTCTCAAATATTTAATTAAATAAAAAATTGATATTAATTAGGTGGTCACAAATAGCTGCACGTCTTCCCGGGCGAACGGACAACGAAATAAAGAATCTATGGAACTCCTCGTTGAAGAAGAGATTGAAGAGTCACAATAACATCTCTTCTCCAAACCCTAGAGAGTCTTCCGAACCTAGAAGTAGCAACAACTTCGGGGAGCTAACCGAAAACATCATTCCGATCCACGAACACAACAACATCATGAACATGTGCATGGAAAGCTCATCGTTCTCATCCTCATCATCCTCAACATCCATGAGTACTCCATCCATGTTTCTACAAAACTACATCCCTTGTGACCCATTTCGTACATTATTGGACAACGACCAATACATCATGGTTGGTGGTGCAATGGAAGAGGGGTATTATGGGGATTACAGCCAAAGAATATTCGAGCCGAAAGGGTTAGTCAGGGACAATTATGACTTTTCCCACCTTCCTCCCCTTGGAAATGGAGACATTATCGAAGAGATTAAGGTACCATCGATAAATATAAAAGAAAACATCGAAAATAATATCGAAGAATTCAATAATGATTGCTTCGATTATAATAACGAGATGAGTTTTAAGGTGGAGGGTATATTTGGAAATAATTATCAAACCGAGCTGCAAGAGAACTCGAACTCGAAAATAGGAGGTTGGGATTTGGAGGGTTTTATCCTTGATTTCCAAATTGATTAATTTCAATTTTTTTTAAAAAAAAACTTCCAAAATGTTTATTTTTTTATTTTATTAAAAATAAAAAATAGAATTGTTACCAATATTTCCTTTTTTTTTTCTTTTAGAAATTTAAGTCAATTTTCAAAAATTAAATAAAGATTTTTGGAAATTAATTTTAAAATTTTAAAGTTTAGAAATATTTTTAAGAAATAAATTTACAAAAAGTAGTTCTTAATAATCAAACTTAAAAAAAAAGAATTTGATCACTTTTGTCCGTTTGCTCTTCTAAAACGGCGCCGTTTGAAGATCGTCAAGATATTTAGCTATTATTTTTTCGGGAAGGTTTACTTTGTACTATAAATCTATTGTAATGGAAAAATTCAAAAGAGACGAATTATTATTAGCTGTTTTTTTTTTTTTTTTAAAAAAAAAAATGAGAACAAATAACTTTAGTTATTATTATTTTCTTGAATTAAATGTGAATGGTTAATGTATTTTTAGACACTATAATTTTAGTAATTTTTTTTAAAAAAATGTATCATTGATATTTCGAATTTTTTTTTCAATTGAAATTTATTGATAATAAATTTATATGACATAATAAATATTAAAATAAATAGTTCATCGAAAAATTTTAATATCATAATTCTCTGAAAAAGTATATCATAAAATAACATTTAAAATATATCTTTTACATTTTGTTAAAAAATAAATTTAAATGAAGTGGGCGAAAACTTTAACATTTAATACAAAATAATTTTTTTAATTCTTAAATTATAATTTGGTATATTTTTTTATTACCATAAAAAAACAGCTGACAAAAGAAAATGAAAAGATTCGGGAAAACATCAATTAATTAATAAGAACAAAATAAATTTGATGAGTGGAAGGCTATCGTTTTTTATTTTCAAACCCAATTTGGACCCCAAAGCATCGTGGCTTCCACACGAAAGTGGAATTCACTTTATATGTATATATATATATCTAATAATAATAATTTTGTTATAATAATAAATAATAATAATAATAATAATCGATTTTTTTTTTTTGTGTGCCAATCAGGTGCGAGTTGGTATTAAAGCGGTAATATCTCATCTTGCATATGATTTCAAAAGAAGGAAGTATTAGTTGCAATGGGCTAGGAAGTTGAGTCGTACCCTCCTAAAAATCTGCCTAAAAGAGCCACGGTAGTGTTGTCACTTAGCTTTCTTAGTCTACATCTTTGGTTTCCATTGAATCAAGAGGTTCGGAACAAATTTTTAATGAAGCAAAAGTCCCCCTTACGAGAAGCTTCCGTAAGCACTCCAACTTGGTAGTCAAGATCCCATATATACGAAATCTAAATACAGGAAAAGCTCCTTCATTTCTTACCGGCAAGAACGGAGCATCTTGAATTTTGTTGAAAATTTAGAAAAATGTTTGTTTGCACTCACGTCTTAATCATTAAGATATACTTGATCATTATAGAAATACATATTTAAGAAAATCATTATTTTGTTTAGAGCTGATAGAAAAAATTATAATTGATGATTTTATCGACGTTAATTATTATTATTTTTTCTATTTAAGAATTAAATATTATTTTTATAATTGCAACAAGAAATTAATTTATTTTTCAAGATAATGATGCACACCCAATAACACTAAGTCGAAATTTGTCGAAATTTGATAAGCCTTTTGTAAAGTGAAGATGGAACAAAAGGAGAGAAAATGACATAGGAAGGTTCATACATACCCAATATGAGTTTTATTGAAATTTTTTAAAAAGTTGAAGGGTATTAATGGAAAGTTCAAGAATATTTTTTAAATACAATATTAATTGTTTTCATCTAAAAATGGTAAAAAAATGAATTCTATGTGCCAAACTATTATAATAAATGAAAAATGCACACCATTAAGGGCATACTGGTTGTGGTGAAAAGGCACACACAAAGCTTCGATCTTTTCTCATTTATTTTTAAAATAGGAATTCTCCCCAGCATGGGAAAAAGAAAAATAATAATAATATGAGAATTAAGTATTTTCCCATGGAAATAATAAAAGTTGATTAATTAAATTAAAAAGAGCACACTTGGGAAAAGTCTGGAAGATTGGTAGTGGGATTATCACGTCCAAATTTTGTTCTTTGGTTTCTTAATTGAAAATTATAGATTTTTTTTTTTTTTTAAAGTTTAATGTATTTGAATCCTAATTAAAAATATTTGAACCAACCAAGTTTTACTATTGTTGAACTTTCACAAGGAGAAAAGTTTAGCTTATCAACTTAAATAATTGAAATTGAAATCTACCATCGCATATATATAGCTCAATAATAAGAAATCTAATATCGACCTAACAAAAAGATTTTGATTACAAATAAAATTTTCAATTATAGTGATGTGTAAACAATGATGTATCATACATTTGTTCAAATATCCTAAAAATAAGTTTAGTATAAATAATGTGGAAGTATGGTGTGAGATCCCAAATAAGTTGGAAAGGGGAACAAAACATTCTTATAAGAGTATGAAACCTCTCATTAGTAGAAGCATTTTATGACTGTGAGGCTGACAATGATAGGTTGGAGAGGGGAACAAAGCATTGTTTATAAGGGTATGGAATTTCTCCTTAGTAGACACATTTTATGACTGTGAGACTGACAATGATATGTAATGTACCAAAATAGACAATATCTACTAGTGGTGGGTTTAGACCAGACACTAAGCAATGTGCCATCAGCGAGGACGCTAACCCTCCAAGGAAGTGGATTGTGAGATCCTATATCAGTTGGAGAGAGGAATAAAATATTTTTTTATATCTACTAGCGAAGTAAAAAATGGACATTGTATATCTAGGACACATACCCAAAATTTTATCACGTGAGTGAAACTTTATAGATGAAATTAAACTGTATGTAATTTTTCAATATAGCTCCCTCCCTTGACACAAAAAAATAATAAACCCTTCAAAAGTTCAATATCTCACCAGCTACCTATGTCCAGGCTTACATAGATACAGGCTTATGAACGAATCAAATTCCTCTGGACAATTCAAATACTCCTAATCATCAAATTCATCATTTTCCTTTGCTCGGAAAACTTGCGAACCAGATTTCATTCTTGGATTATTAAGGAAGAAGGTAATGAAAATCTTACTGTAAACATATAGCCAAGTTACCACATATGTCGTCTCAGTTTATTTTCTCTCTCATTAAACCAGTGTTATATACCCACTTAACCCATATAAAATGGATCATAAAATGTCTAAAACAGACGTGGGGTATTGGAAATCCTATGTAGAACGCACATTTATCAAAAGCATACAAAATAATATTAAATAAAAACTAGGAAGCTACCCACTAATTAAAGTCACTTCAATCTTTTATGCACAATTGTCACTACAGAGAGCGAGCGAGAGAGAGAGATATGCTCAAAAATTTCCCCAGCCTCATCTTTATTAGATTAAAGATATGGTTGGTATCATATATATCAGATATAATACAAATAGACCCATAGAAAATCAATCAGACACAAAAAGATTGCAGGAATGTAATATGCATTACTTTAGTTTAAGCTTTTGTTCAATTGTAATGGTGACATACCCACCATAGTCAGAGAAAACCAATGAATTCACAATGACATTTGAATAACTCCCATTATCAAAAGCCATTCTGTCTTTAAAAGTGGTATAAAAGGAAGGGGAGGCTGAGAGTTTGTTTGGTGTACGAAAAGAAGCGAGTTGGTAAGGAAGAAGAGTTCTGGGATCAGGTAAGAGATATCCTTGCTAAGTCAGAGGACTCTAAACAAAGGTCATTATTTATATACATATAAGTTAGTTCGTTTATTCTCCATGCATACTAATGATAATTAGCCTCTCTTATATCACTGTTTCATCCATCTTTAAGGCTTAAACTCTCCTCTTCCTTTAAATAATACCTTCCTTCTAACATATATTTATACGAAAAACATGGCACATGAGTCTATAGCGTGCCTTTGTGTTTTGTGTGATATATGATGTTTGTATTGTTGTGTTGTTGTTTCGTGAGATTAGTTGTGTTTTACGACCTTCTTTAATTCCCTTGCCTTGTAAAAATAAATTAAGGTAATTTGTGATCTTTTGGAGTGTATTGTACGTGCGGATAGAGTTTTGTATGTGGCATATGAGATTGTTTGCAATCTTTTTCTAAAAGAATTTGCTCAATCTTTTTCTAAAAGAATTTGCTGTTAATTTGCTCATCACATACAATGTGATTAACCACAGCCACACAAAAATAGTAATTGGAAAGTAGTGGGGTCTTTTAAAGACAACACATTTATGTCTAATCAAACACGTTAAATTTTAACTAATTTTTATGATTCTTTTGACACATGAAAATTTCCAAAACTTCCCATCTTCCTCACCAAACCCACCTGCTCGACTAATCTTATAAATTATCTAAAATAAGTTATTCAAAACAACTCCTAACAATAAAATAAGAATTTGCATTGTGTTTCTTCAATATTCAAGAAGGGTTTTGTCCACATTAACCTTACATTAGAAAATCTAGGAGATGAGAGTTATTTGGTGTAGGAAATATATGTAGCTTTCAGGCTCATCCACATACAATAATCTTTGTTATATAATGGCTGTTTTCTTTCATTCTTCTTCGATCCTCCTAAATGAACAAGCTGACAGAGGATGCTTATGAAGTTATAAATATGATCACTAAAAGGCATGCCCATGCAAATCTTTATTGAGTTTAATTAATAAAAAAAATCTACGGTTTTCAAGGGTCCCATTTCTTTCCTATGAAGTCGCTTTAATCAAGGGCCAAATCATATATTTTGAGGTTATCTGGGGAAGATTTCTAGCAATTATTATAATTTAATTACTAGCTAGCTAGGAAGGTTCCACCACAGTAGTCCACCATGGAAGCACCTATTTTCCTACGTTTTCTTCATTGCTTTGTTGTAAGCCATTGTTAAACAATCATCAGTAAGAAAAGGTAGACCCGGGGAGGGTTTGATATGCATGGAATGAACAAATTTTTAATATTTCCATGTAGAATTCTAGAATCAGAATCACGTTCCTTCTAATGTACTTCTCAAATAAAAGAATCAATGAATCGTCTAGACATGAGTTCTTCATCACCTATTATCCATGTTCGAGTTCCAAAAAAACCGGTGTGCGTATGCGTGCATCATTTACTTAATGCTCTACAGGCACAGAACTGAGAGAGGTACTGTTGGCTGAGCATTCATGCATCACAGTTTATCCTGAACGTCTGACAGTTCATTTCTACAAGCTCTCCCTTGTAGCATGTATGTTCCTTTCTGGTCAAACGAACAGATCTCTCAACATTAGTGGTCCTAGGGGCCAAACCTCCATTTGAGTCTCTTTCTCTCTAAATGTATGCGTTTCTATAAAACTAGTTTACGTGAAATACAATAACTACGAGTCTTTTCATTCTTTAAGTTGAAAAGAATAGTTTTATGCATGGTGCGTCAACTTCCAAATCATTCAATTTCACTGCTATTTTCAGACCTTGCTGCTGTTTCCTTCAACATCCAAAACTTTTTAGCTTTTTAGAATGTTTGTGCACTTGCATTAAATGAGCTCTCTAAAGCTTTCTGAACTTGAATTCTGGGCCCAGAATTCAACAGCCTAGACCATTTCAGTACTACAGCACTGGCAGAATAGAACCAGAACCAGAACCAGAATCTTAGTTTGACCACACAAGGGGGAATTCAGTCGAAGATGCCTGTTAATGTTTTCTTCAAAGACGCAAGGTGATTTTCATGTTCCAATCAATTCTCTTCTTTAAATGTTTGATGTTCAATTTAACTTGCGAACACTGATGTGATTCTTCCAATCATAACTAAAAATTCAGTTCTTTTTCCCATTTCTAAACTGACCCAAAGAGATTGTGCATCAAATATATATCCATAATTAGAGACTCTTTTCTGATGACGGGAGATAATCCTCTTCCTTTTAAACTAATGACTCGTATATTTTAAATGTTTATAAATGTAGACGTGTTTTCAAGCTTGACACAATCGGTCGGGAGATACTAGGAATTGCACTCCCTGCTGCTCTAGCTGTTGCAGCTGATCCTGTAGCTTCTCTTATCGACACTGCTTTTGTTGGCCATCTTGGACCCGTGGAACTTGCTGCAGTTGGAGTATCCATTGCTATATTCAATCAAGCTTCAAGGATTACCATATTCCCACTTGTAAGCATTACAACTTCTTTCGTGGCCGAGGAAGAGACCATTGGCAAGGCTGACAACAAAGCAGCACGAGTTGAAAAGGGAAAGTGCTCAGCTGATGATAATTCAGTGAAGGTTTATGTGCCCGAAGATCCTGATCTAGAGAACGATGAAAGACTTACAGCCAAACAAGACTCTGTCAACTTGAATCATGAACCAAGGAGTAATGCCACAACAGAACAAGTTGGAGAAAAAGAAAACAAAACGAAAGAGGGAAAAAAGGAATTGGTTCCAGATAATGGTGCTCTTCAAGAAGATCTGGAAAAAGGTAAACCGAAACTTGATTGTTATATTTAGAATATTTTAATAATTTTGATGAAAACTATTGCGACATGTAATTTCTGATTTCCTCTTCTTCTTCTTCCTCTTTTTTTCTTTCTTTTTCCAGATTCAAGTACAAATGTAATCAAGGCTACCTCTGCCAAGTCCAAAAAGAAAGAGAAGAAGCAAATTGCATCAGCATCAACAGCTCTGATATTTGGCTCAATTCTGGGTCTCATGCAAGCCATATTCCTTGTTTTCGGAGCCAAATCTTTACTGAACCTAATGGGTGTAAAAGATGTGAGTGCTCCCTGTAACTTAAAATGTAGTTCAGTTTTAGATCGAATGTTTTCCTCTAATATTTTGGGACTTCAACAAACAGAATTCGCCCATGTTAGTCCCTGCTCACAAGTATTTAACACTAAGATCAATTGGTGCTCCTGCTGTTCTTCTGTCATTGGCCATGCAAGGGATCTTTAGAGGGTTCAAGGATACGAAAACTCCTCTTTACGTTATTGGTAGGCCTTGTCCCTTTTCCTCTGCATATGGTTGAACCTAATATATCAACTTCCTTTGACTAGCAACTATTTGTTTATATGCCTCCATGTAGTTTCGGGATATACTGTAAACATCATACTTGACCCCATATTCATCTTTGTCTGCCGTTGGGGGGTCAAAGGTGCAGCTGCTGCTCATGTTCTTTCTCAGTAAGCTTTAATTTCTATGCACTATCTTTTTGCTAGAACTTTACAACCTTCCTTCAAAATGACATAAATTGTGTCTTCACGTTCCAAAAATGCTTCTCTAAGACTTACTTCAATCCTTTCAGGTACTTCATTGTGCTTGTTCTCTTCTGGCGACTGGTGCAAAAAGTCAATCTCATGCCTCCAAGTCTTAAAGATTTGCAATTCGGTCGATTTCTTAAAAATGGTAAAAAGAAATTGTCCCCAAACAACTCTTAACTCGATATTCTAATACCAAGTAAACTATGAGATCAATCAATCTTTAGCTCTTATTGAACTTTGAATGGCTTGGAGCAGGAGGTCTGTTGCTGGCAAGAGTCGTAGCAGTGACCTTCTGCGTGACTCTAGCAGCATCACTAGCCGCAAGGTTGGGCCCAAAACCTATGGCTGCATTTCAAACTTGCTTGCAAGTCTGGATGACATCTTCTTTGTTATCTGATGGTTTAGCAGTAGCTGGACAGGTGAAGAAACAAAAACCTAATTCCACCTCTCTGCAGAACTTCTTTTCTAAATGACAATTCAAAGATATTGGGGTGGGGAAGTCTAATAGGTATCTCTTTCATGGTATATGATTCATTTTCTTTCTCTTTTAGGCACTCCTAGCCAGTGCATTTGCAGAAAAAGACTACGAAAAGACAACAGCAACAGCTACTAGAGTATTGCAGGTAAGAAACGAATTCAAAACCACAGAAAAACAAAAACATAGTTCCTCTAAACAACGTAAAACATTTTCCTGGTCAGATGAGCTTTATCCTAGGGGTTGGACTCGCTGTTTTCGTCGGAATCGGGATGTTCTTCGGAGCAGGAATATTTTCAAGAGACATTCAAGTGCAGTACCTCATACATTTAGGAATTCCGGTAAATATTAAAACGTACCTTGTTTTCTTCCTTCCAATGCCATGGATCAACTCATCTGATTCTCCTCTTTCTCCGGAAACTCATCAGTTCATCGCAGCTACACAGCCGATAAACTCACTGGCGTTTGTTTTCGACGGAGTGAATTTCGGAGCTTCTGATTTCGCGTATTCCGCATACTCATTGGCAAGTTCTACAGCATCATCCTCCACCTGTTTGAGAAAATTTCTCAACGAAATTACATTAAATTTTCTGGCTATTTTCTTCAGGTTCTGGTGGCGATTGTGAGCGTTGTATCACTGTTTCTCCTCTCCAAAAGCAATGGCTTCATTGGGATTTGGACTGCTTTGACGATCTACATGCTTCTGCGTACTTTTGTTGGCATCTGGAGGTAATTTATATTGGTAAATAAATTTGTATAATCCCGCGTTTTCTGTTCTTAACACAAAATAAAAATTAGTCCTTATTTAAAATTTTCAATTTATTTCCTTATATTTCAACATTTTTCAATTTACTGAAATCATTGAAAATAAATTTTATATTATTTGGTGAATTAACAAATAATAATAATAAATAATAAATAAGGAAAATAACATTTAAGAGAGAAATAATTTAATTCATTCTCCATGACAAATTTATTATTAAATTATTACTCAATTTTATATTTACTTCTAATAAACGACTAATTTTTTTTTTGCCCTATAATACTAATAATGATTAAAAATGTAATTTAGTTTTTTTTAATTATTATAATTATAATTTATTAAACACAAAACTAAAAAAACATAAATTTATTAAACACTTTTAAAATTGCAGGATGGGCACAGGAACAGGACCTTGGCGTTACCTCAGAACTCAAAGGCTACCCTAAATCAAACCGACCTCCACTTTATAAAATTTACTTTAAAATAATATCATCTTTTTAATAGTTTATACTTTGTATCGTTATCACGGTTAGACTTGGACCCTATAAATGTTGCTTCGTTTTTTTTGTATTAATATGGAGTTATTAATAAATTTGCTTGTATCTACCGTGTAGGATCGAGGGATTCAAACCTTTAATCTCTAGTCCACAACAATTAAGTTACGAAAATAAAACATGAATTTTCTAATTTTAAATGATATGTTTATATTTAATTAGTTTAGTGAACTTATATATATATATATATATATATATATATATCCTTATCGAGCTTAAATTAAATAACTAAAAAATAATAAACGTGAGTTTTCTAATTTTTACTTTTGAAAATCAATTTAAACATAAATACGAACATGTTGAACCAATTCGTTCGTCAAGTTTGGGCCGTAAGAAGGGAGTAATAAAGCCCGGCCCAATTAGTGGCCCAAATTCATTGTAGTTTGGGTCTCGGTTCGATTCCAACGGGAGATAGACCTTTCTGAGTCGCCAAATCAAAGCGAATTCCATCTCTTGGCGCGGCCATGGCGTCGTTCGGCTCTCTGAAGAATGCTATCTTCGAAAGAGAAGAGAGAAAACAGTGCGCTCTCTTGTCCTTTAATCTCTCTTAACACGTCCGTAGCTCATTCCATGGAGGCCTTTCTGTCACTTACTCTTAACCTATTTTCTTCTTTATTCTTGAAAAATTTGCAGGCAGTATCAGGCGCATGTGCGAGGGCTCAATGCTTACGATCGCCACAAGAAGTTTATGCGTGAGTATGGTGTGATTGCTACTGTGTTATTCATTGCGTAACTTTTTGTGGAATTAATGAGCATTTGCGAGGAAAACCATTGGATTTGTGATTGTGGCTTAATTATACGTTGCTTTATTTGAATGTTTTTGACGTATGATCTTTTATTTTAACATGAAGATCAGTTACTAGCACTGGCGGTGAGACTACTGCTCAATTACGGAAGTGATTGAATGTTGTTGTTTAGCTTTGAACTCATTTGGATTTTGTCTATCGCGGTTGCAGATGGGATAGAGTGATAGGAATTGTCAAACACAGTACATTTAGTTAGCTTACAAGGTTATTAGCTGACGGACGGACGTGAAGGATGCTTGCAAATACTGAGCACCTTATTTGCATATCCTGGAGTCCTAAAGCAAAAGAATGATGAACAGTTTCCCTCAATAAGATGACAGGAGGCTACAATCATCCTAACATTTTGGTGCAAGAGATTTTTCTGTTAGCCTCAAAATTAGTTACTTTTAAATATTTGAATTGTGGATTTGTTGCAGTTCATTTCTACGGGAAAAATCAATCTATTGAAGAGAAATTTTCTTTTAAGACTGAACAAGACGCCTTGAGGGAGGGCTACCAGTTTAATCCCACTATTCTCTCCAATCATGATGGAATGCCATTTTTCATTCATAGAGATGCAAATGATGGAATGGCAAATTAAATAATTAATTAGAATATGAATATATAATTGTTAAATGCAGTTCTAATAAATCCCTATTTTGTATGATTTAGAATGTACAATGGTAGAGCATAACTGCACTTGTAATCAATTTGATCATTGTGTGTATTTTCGGTTTTTTGATGATGACTTGTTTATCTACTTGGACTTTTATGTTAGTGACATATCGGTTGGTGACATGTCGATTGCTTCCAAGGGACAAGTGGAGATTGATAAGCGTCGATCCACTACTGGTTATCCGTTTACCATGGCTGGTGAACCTGTTTGTTGGCGTTCAATATTGCAGTCTACTATTGAATTGTCTAACACCGAAATAGAGTATATGACAATCACTGTAGCTTTTAAAGAAGCTATTTGGATCCATGATTTGGTTAATAACTTGGGTATTTCTCAGTAACACGTAGATGCATTTTGTGATAATTAGAGTGCTATTTGTTTGTCGAAGAACCAAGTCTATTATGTTCATACCAAGTATATTGATGTCCGATTTCATTATATTCAAGAAATTATCAATGAAGGGGATATTTGTTTATTGAAAATTTGAACGGCTGATAATCCTACGGATATGTTGACAAAAGTGATCGCTCGTGAAAAGTTTTGGCATTGTTTAGATTTGATCAATGTTGGACGAAAGAAATAGCTTGTTGACTTGGTGGCAGCCAAACCGATTATCTGCTTCGGGATCTTCTGATAAGGTGGAGATTGTTGTAAGTTGTGATGAAGAATAAGTTGATGCATCTTCTATGCATGTAGTGTCATTTATTTTGGTTCATAAGTCTCATTTATTTGGTTCATAATCCTAGCTGGTTTATCTTTTATTTTGATACATGAATCTGATTCATGTATGAGAATTAATGTTGCTTTGATTCATGTATGAGAATTAGTATTGCTATGCCTGCATAAAGGCTTGTCTAACATTGTTTTGAGAGGTAGAGTCATTGTCATTTTGTATTTGCCTAGAGTCAAAATGGGGAGGAACTTTGTAAGATAGACTTTATAGTGCGAGAGTGTGAGAGATACACTTATAAACACTTTGGTTATAGTGATTGACTACCACCCGTGGATGTTGGATAATTTCTTCTATCCGCACCACGTAAATCTTTGTGTTTTTTGTTTATGGGTGTGAATGCAATCGCTTTTGTTTCTGCTTCCACTAGAACAATGGGGTATCAGAATACCATTGATTGTGGCATTAGGGTAAACACATATAACCATGTACGTATTCATAAACTTTGTTCCTGCTTGGATATGGTTGAATCATTTGCTGTTAGTTCCCACACTCCATCATTCCATGCTTACATAACTTATATTTGCATCATCTGTTGTAATGTAATGTAAAAAGCAAGCCACAATTTTCACTGTGATAAAGCTGTTTGTTTGGAATCTGAATCATTCTTTTTATGATTTGTCAAATTGAAATCTAACAATTTTCTCACCTCCCCTGTTGTCTTTGTTTAAAATTTTCTATTTTTATATTCTCGTACTTAGTTTGTTTGCAATATTTATTTATCACTGTTTTCTCCCATCTTGTATATTTAGGAGTAGATGCTCAAAGAAAAGCTTCATTACAAGAGAAAGAAAGGAAATGAGAAACAGGAAAGGATGGAGCAAAAAATGTCCAAAAGGAAGAGGTACCACTCCAAACTTTAAGGTACAATTTTCTACTAGCTAGAGAACTGTGAAACCTCCTCGATAAACTCAAGCGCCCTTAGCTAATGGCTTGCACTCTTATTAATCGCCTTTCTTTTCCATTGAATAGACTTTAAACTACTGGCTAGATTGGCAAGAGGATCTTGTGGCTGAATATCAATAGAACTTTTATTGGCTATGGCTCTATGTTGGTTAAAAAAATTCACCTTTTTGCAACTATAGTTTAAATATTATTCTCATATCCAACGGGTTGGGTTGGGTCCAGTCGTCTTTTGTAACATTTCACATCATCAATGAAATTGTTTTTTATCAAAAATATTAGAAAATCTTTAATTAGGGCCAGACTCTTTTGCCGTTTCTTTGCAGGGAAGAAGGCTTCAACATCATCAGGGGATCATAAAGCTGATGACAAAAACGACATTGATGAATATGGGCCTCAAGGCTACAATTCCGGCCTCCACAGGGCAGTATTTTCAGGTATCTGCTTCCTTGAAACCTTTTCGAAGACGACAAATGGCAATTTATATCTTAAACATAAAGCATCATGTGCATGTGGTTGATTCCCTAATTGTTTAATTGTATTGTAGCCTTGTCGTAATCTGTATATCTTGTTCTGTTGTATGAGCTGTTATGTGCAGCAGGGTTTTTTAGTTCAGAAAATCCATCCACCCAATTGAAACTAATCAAAAGCTTTAAACCCTTCCCATATATTCAATGTTCATGCTCAGATCCCCTTTTGTTCATCAGTCACTCATTGTCACCACCCACCCTTTTCGACCTCTGTTACGAGTTTCGACCTTTGTTGCCTTCCTCCCATGGACTTGGACTATTGTAATTGTGGTATACAAAAAAGAAGTTTTGTCGAGGATTATGAGTTTATAAGTAAGAAATATATCTTCTATGTGTATGGATCATGAGTTTATAAATAAGGAGTATCTACGAGTATGAGGCCTTCTCACAAAACTAAAAGCAAAGTCATAAGAGCTTATATTAAAAGTGGACAATATCATACTATTGCAAAGTGATGTGATTTTGAATAAGGTTGTGAGATGGTGGATGTGGACAATGGGATATTTTATCTTCGTCCTCTAGTTATATAAATCTCTAGTTATATGAATACACGTAGAATAACAAAATTTTATTAATAAATTCGCCCGGGATGGATCTTTCTAATATAGTTTTATTAATAAATTTTGACAATTGGGCATCTGGATGTCATTTTGATGGTTAGTGCATTGGGTGGGGTAAAAAAATATTATACAATTTCCTCAACTTTAATTAAATAAAAGAGCCATATTGGTGAGGCATATGGAAGTTTAAAAGAAAATATTATTATTATTATATCTTTAAAATAGTGAAATTCCTTTAAAAAAAAACATATGATGGACCAATTAGAAAAATTCTAATTTTTCAATATAAATCCGAGTTCAGAATTCCATGCTTCCCCATAACGCCACGTTGACTTCATCCACTAATTTCGTGAAACGTGGCGTCACTTTAGGCACTAACCTTCCTTACGTGGCTCTCATGCATTTGATAGCACGAAGTTTTCGTGCTACCTTATCATAAAACCACAAACGTCCCAGTGACGTTCCCCTAACGGCTCAATACGGCTCCGTCAGTACGTCGTTTAGGGCCTTTTGAAATGGAGTTGACGTGTTATCGTCAGAGGTGGACCTCCAACCTTTTTGATTGTGACACGTAATTGCATTCAGTAGAATCGTACGGTTGTTAACTTCTCACGTCTTCCAAAGATTTCCTTTAATTATTATAATATTATATATATATTTTTTAGTTTTAAAATATGGAAGTTGGGAATGTGTAAAAGGTTCTACTCCCATTGGTCACTTTTTGGAGGACAAAATGACCAAACTACCCTTGATGATATCATTCTCCAAATTAAAATATCTACAAATTGGCCATTTTTGGAACTGTAATTGTCCAACGACCAATAACTATTTTTTTTTCCACATTTAAAAAAAGCTTAATATGCCAATATTGGTTAATATTTGAAAACCATATAAAATTGAAACTTCATGTTGTAGGACATTAATTTTTTGTTTCAATTTTATAATAATATAATATTATTATTTTAATAGTTCAAACTGATGAAAATATAAATTTCTTTTTAAAATAATTTACTAAATCACAAATTTGTATATTTAATATTAAAAAGAAAACAACACTTCAATTATTGTTTGGAAAATGTAAGAAAATAATGAAATGAAAATATTTTGCAAATAAGAATTTAATTGAACCAAGTATACATAATTAAAAAGAATTAATAGAATAAATCCCTAAAATAATGGAAAGGTTAGTTTTGTCAATTGGGTGGAAAGTCCCACTTCTTTTTGTATTTCTAAAATAAATATCTTTATCCGGTTCTTCCTTAAAGGCAACACAATTGGGTTACAAGTTGGGTCATTTGTCAGAAGCAATCATCAAATTTTTTTTTTTATTTTTTAAAAATATATTATTATTATTATTTTTTATTTTCTTTACCATAATTTTTATAATTAGCTCTTTTAGTTTTAACTTTTGCCTCTTAATTTAATTCAGAATTTAAATGAATTTTTAATGTAAAGCTAAAGAAACATAATCTAAATATTTGTTTTTATTCTTCTATCTATCAATTTATTTACAAATATATATATATATATATATATATATATATATATTACTCCTAAATTCTAATAAATTCCAATTTCAATCTTATAATAAAATTTTACTTCAAATATTATAAAAATTGAACTATAAAATGTATGATAAAATTCTAGAGAAAAACGTTGTCAGAGTTTTTTTTTTTTTTTTTTAAATTGAAATTTATGAATTTTAGAAAAAAAAATACTAAGGGTTAATTTGGGCATTAGTCAATTTTATTTTTATGTAATTTTTTTTTTAATGAAATTAGAGATGGTGGTTGGAATTTATGGAGGGAAAGGAATAAATTAACTGTATAAACTACCATAAATTTATTGACTCTCAGTTCTTTCTTAATTCAATAATTTTTAATTTTTAACTTTTGCTTCTTTTCATTTTTAATTTCCTTCTCTCTGTCGTATTCCATAGCCACTGCAGCGAGCGAGCGAGGTAGAGAGAGAGAGAGAGTCATGGAACTGAGCTAGAAGACCAGAGCGACCTTCAACCTAAAGCTCCCTAGGGTACGATCGTCTCTCTCATAATCGCATCGCAGTTGTAAGTTGTCTTCCTGCAATTGCTGCTTGTCTTTTATTTTGCTGCTTACAATCGGTATTTTGATCGGAGCATGATTTTCATTAAGGCTCCATTTCTCTTGAGGAATTTGTGCTTGTTTTTCATCTAGTAGCGTCGGAATGATAAAGTATAAGAAAAACTGTTGGAATTTTGAGTTTATGAATGAGGAGAATATACCGGAGTTCGATTGCAGAAGTGATTCTGAACTTGTAATCGTCGACTCGAATAGGCTGTGAAATTGAACTAGCTATCGTCTTGTTGAGTTTCTAATTTCGCCGTAGTGATTATAAACCTACTGTATTTCGTCTTCTTTTTTTCCTTTTTTATTTCTCGATCTCTAGCTTATTTGCTGCATGCTTTTCGGCAACCGGAGAAAGATCTTTGTAGTGCCTCTGTTTTGGATCTATGGAAATTGCAGCGATTGAAGTTTATATAGAGTAAATGGAAGCGATAGATGTAGTTTGTAACGAATATCTACTGTATTTAACATGTTATTTTCTCGCCATAATTCAGTATCTCTTATTATACTATCTTGAAGCCCCTGTAATGTATTGTAGATGAGCTATATGAATCTCTGAAAAGTTTTTGTCGGTATTAAATAATCCTCCATCTAGCATGCTGGAGTTCTTTCAATGATTTAGGGATGCTAGGAATTCCAGGTTGCTCAGAACTGGGAAATATTGTATCCTAATCAAAGTTTATGTGCTCCAATCTTCCGATGAGCTTAATAAGTAAAACACTCGATGTCTCCGAAGTCTTTCTGTAAAGCAGACTCGATTATGTTGAGAATCCCCTGATGCTGCGGTGTGGTATAAGTAGGAGTGAATTATTTTGCTTTTCTGTTCTTTCTAATTTTCGCCATTTTACGGTGACAGGATAAGTTTTGAACGATGCCATCAAAACCAGAAAATGTAGACCAACAAACAGTTGATGGGTCGAAGTATTTGGTACAATCGACCAAATACTCTGAGGCTTGGTGGCATGGAGTTGGGAACAATACCATCGCAGGTGAAAATGCTACCAAAACAGCTTCTACAGATTACCTGAACGATACTGTTAGCAGTGGAGGAACGCAGTCACAAGCAAATGGTATAAGATTCATTGCTAAAATTGTTATTAATTCTATATATTTGGCTAAGAATACACCATTTAAGCGATATATTGAACCTGTTCTTGATTTAGATGAAAATATTGGGAAAGAAGTTCAGCATCTCAAGTACATTCCGTTTTCTACATCCCCACCTGTGGGCGAACGCCTTGATCTAAATTCCCAGATGGAACTTGTTGGTCACTCAATTGTAAGATTTATCTGTCTATCTCTGAAACCAATGTCCATGAAAAGAAACAAACATGAGTAGTGTGCCTAGATGTTTGCCTTTTTAGACTTTGCTTCCCTCTTAGCTGGATACAAAAAGGACTTCAAGTATCTCCATTTGCAGGTTTTGACATCATATCCTTTTTCAGATGCACAATATTGCCAAATGCTGACTTCTAATGGACCACAGTCAACGGTATACTCTGATTTACTTGAATATGTGGTTTATGATAGAACCAAATAGTTGCAAGGTTGAAGATCAAATCATCAACTTTTGAGATGTTAATTGATGTCTTATCCACCGTTTAGATTGACCATTGTCCATTTGTGTTGATATATGGTTTAAACAAATTTATATATGCATAGAGGCTAAATACGCCCCTCGCTATCGTGCATTGTCATGTTTGTTTCTTATGTACAGTTCTCTTTGCAAAGAAATTTGCCACCATGCAATTCCTACGAGGGGCATCATTTTTTTGTACAGCCCTACTTGCCGATCAACTGTTCAAGAATTATGATTATGCTTGATTTTCCTGCAGTTTCCTCATATTTATGGACTTCACCATGCTAGGATGCCTTTACCCCTTGAAATGGAAGAAGAACCCGTTTATGTAAATGCAAAGCAATATCATGGTATCCTGAGGAGAAGACAGTCGCGTGCCAAAGCTGAGCTTGAGAAGAAAGTGATAAAAAGTAGAAAGGTATTACATTTCATCGTAGTTGTATCACATTGTTACTTTTCTGCATACTCTAATCCATTTTGTGCAGCCATATCTTCATGAATCCAGACACCTCCATGCTATGAGACGAGCAAGAGGCAGTGGAGGACGTTTCCTCAATACCAAAAAGCCCAACAATGTTATTTCCAATACAGATAGGGAGAAAGGCATCAATTTTGGTGCAAACCATCCAACAAAACCTGTCAACGAGGCTGGATCAAAATACATGGTGGCTGATGAAAATGGAATCAAGGATACGCTTAATGAGGAGGACAAAGAGTTCATGACTCAAAATCTGCAGATAACACGCGCTTTCTTCAACGGAAAATTGAATGGCCATGGCATATCCACTTACACTTCACAACTTGCTGACGTCGAGGGAGATCATCTCGATCAGCCACATGAAAGCATGCAGGTGAATGGGGCTCCACAGAGAGCCATCCCCATCAATTGAAGGTTTCTTGATGGGCAAATGGGGCTTCTTTTCCAACACTGTTTAACCAGTTTCAGTGCAGAAAACTTGAAGATTCAGTGTATGACTGTTGATTCATGTGAGGCTCTGTTGCTGGTTGGAAGTTGATGGATTAGCCCCCTTTCTGCTTGGAAGAAAACCGCTTTTGGTAGTGTTTCTCAGGCAATTCATTCTTGGCTTTAGTTGGTGTACTCTGAGGTGAGATGGAAGAGGATGAAGAAATGAAGCACACAAAAAAATGTGGTACATCCGCTGCCACTTCTCTCCTCTTCAATTTACCTCTTCTATTATGTATGCAGTTCTCATCCTGAACGTCTCAGATAAACAAAAAAATTTAGTGTGAAGACTCTTGTAACTTAATTTAGGTGCATCTGGGTGTTGTATCTATTCAACTTTGAGTGCATGTTTGAGGCTATAAATTTTCATGTTTCTGGACGTACAAGACATTAAATATGGAACCTCTTTCATTCTTTCCTTATTCTGTCGCTCGCACACAATTAAGATTAGATAGTAAAGTCGCTACTACATGCATGACATGTCTAATATGTGCAAAAGATCATTAAAAACAGTTTGCCAGAACGTTGCCATAGACTCAAATGCTGGTTTAATTTTAATATTTAGTGCAAACCTTATTATCCTCTAAAATTTTTAGATGTTGTCCATTATGTTGCTAAAATTCAAGACTGTCAAATAAAACCATCTTTTTTCTTTTTCACCCACTGATATAATAAAAGAAGCAGAAAGCCAATATTTCATATTCTGCGAAGAGTAGTTCGTCCATTCATCTGTATATTTGAAAAAACTCGTAAGCAAAAGAGTTCATTAAATCTTGCATATGAAGCTCAAACGAAGCTAATACATAAGAACAGAAGGTGATGGGCATTAAAGAGATTCATTTTTCTCTGCAAGACAAAGCTTTATATCATCATATTATTCACTAGTGCAAGTTTTCACTTCAAGGTCTTGGAGGGAGGAGGAAGCACAGTATGTAAGAAGTTCGTCACAAGAAAACAAGCAGAGGTAAAACTATTTCAAGATAAAGGAATACTATATTAAATGCTAACAGTTGTTCGTTTGTCTTCTTCAGGTCCTCTTTCGTCCCGAAAATAACTGTACGGTCAGTCAAAGCCTTTCTTGTTCTTGAAGTTGCTCCTGTTCAGATTGAACGTAAAAGCACGAAACCAAAATAAGGGAATGCCTAAAACTAACAGAATACTTCTAGTTCTAAGGTAATCCAACCCAACCCAAGAACGGTGAACCCGAAGAGCCACCATCTTAAGGATACGGAATCCTAGTTAGAAATGACTCGTCGTTGGGCGACATTTTAGCTAGTGATCGTGAATCTGTGACTAAATAATCCAAAATGACACACATGGCTTTGAATGCAATGATTTTGACACTAACCTCTGATACAAAGAAGGCATGAAACCCATATGGAACTCTGTGTGGCAACTCAACAACTGCAACGGGCTCAGATGACATAGTTTTGGCATCCACGACATTCACCGCAGATTTTCTGTAGGTAACAATGAAAATTATTGTCCTCCTCTTTAACCAAATAAACTAAATTTGATTCATCACAGGTATTCGGTAAAACTGCCAACTTGCATTCTAATGCAAATTCAAAGGCTGCTGCTACAGGGTTAGTTCAATTTTATAGTGTAACAGCACAAGCCCAAGCCCACCACTAGCAGATATTGTCCGCTTCGTTCCGTTACGTATCTCCGTCAGTCTCACGGTTTTAAAACGCATCTCCTAGGAAAAGGTTTCCACACCCTTATAAGGAATGCTTCGTTCCCCTCTCCAACCGATGTGAGATCTCACATATAGAGAGTGGGTCTGTATATTCATGAAACGAAAAGGTTATAAGAAAAAGATTAATTGAGAAAATTATAAAACTCCCACTCTGTAACAGCCCAAGCCCACCGCTAGCAGATATTGTCCTCTTTGGGCATTCCTTTCAAGGACTTCCCCTCACGGTTTTAAAACGTGTCTACTAGGGAGAGGTTTCCGCACCCTATAAGAAATGTTTTGTTTTCTTCTCCAACCAATATGGGATCTCACTGTAGAACTAAACTTTCTAAACAGTAAGGTGTTCGATAACAACTATTCAGTAATAGGATATCTAAGAAAGCAAACCGCATTCCAGCTACTACTCGTATGATACATATAAAATACATATGACACAAAACTAGCGATATAATAGAAGAGGAAAACATTTACCCAGTATTCTCATCATGTACGAATAATATTAAGTAGCCATCATCTTCTTCTGAAGTGGTGCCAGGTATACGAGGAACAAAGATAGCTTCAGAACCAAATCTACCAGGTCCAAGGTCATACAGGCCTTGAACATTTCCTCCAACTTCAATCTTCGTTCTTCCAGTTTCACGTTTAGCATGCAGATCAAATTTAGCAATCCCCGTGACTTTTGCAATGCTGTCCAGTGTAGTTCCATATACATATCGTTGCTTCCTGATTGCATACAGAGTACATCATCAATTCCATGTGATAGGAATCCAGTTCATCAAGGCCAGAAAAACAAAAAGGAACATACGAATAAGAAAATGATAACGAGAATCATCCGAATCGCTAACTGCAGTAGATGGCATGCAATGCTGTCGCTAAAACACTGTAAATGCAATTTTGAATGGCATGGTATCCCATTTCAAACTGTTAATTACTCGGATATTCAAAGGAATAGAACAAAAATTCCCCTACGGCTAATGTTGTTTCTGAAGATATAATAGCCCAAACCCACCGCTAGTAAATATTGTCCTCTTTGGGATTTCCCTTTCGGGCTTCCCCTCAAGGTTTCTAAAACGCGTCTGCTAGGAAGAGGTTTCCGCACCCTTATAAAGAATGTTTCATTCTCTTCTCCAACCAATGTGGGATCTCATAGAAGATGTCTTCTAATGGGGTTCTAGTGCTATAATTGGAAAATTGCAAACGAAAGAGATGTCCTTTAGTTCAAGCTTTTCTTACTCCAAAATTGGATGATCTCTTCATATATCCCCATGGATTTGAGCCGATATTCTTTTACAAATGCTAGAAAAAAAAGGGAATTAAAATACCTGCCAGTGTAGCATTCATTCACTCTAGGAAAATCTACAGCAGATTCCGAGAGTTTCCTCTGTGAAGATAAACCAGATTTAAGATTGAATCTCATCTCATACCTGATAGATGGAAAAATAATTAGAAATATCACAGCCACATCAAGAACTTTTCTTCATTTGTAGAAATGGATTAGAGTCCTACAGCTCATTTGAGAAGTTCTCAAGCTTCTCCTTAACAGACCCACTGACCATGTCCAAGTCTGGATTCTCGAGACGGCACGTAATCAAAACTACTTCATCTCCTTCCTCCCAAGCATTAGCTAAGAAGAAGTATACAACATAAATAATGAAAAGAGAAAGAGTAAGACAAATATACAGTCTATTTAATAAGTCAAATAAGCAGATTACAATAATGACTAGAAGGTACAAATTTTCAGGGAAAAAATAAGGTAGAACCCTTCAAAGCTCAGGCCATAAATGAAAAAGACAAATCAAAGAACTAAATCTTGCATCAAGTCCAATTGTAATCATATAAAAGCACCAATACACAACATGAGTAACAGAAAACCTAGTAATTTCCAACAGAAAATGAGTCAAAGAATGATCCATCCGAGGAAATACTACAAAGATAGAACCAAAGATAAAATCTCTAATTTCCCAATCACATGAATTTTTCCATTACCACTGGTTGAAGTACTCGTAATGAAATCAATATTAAAGATTGTAATTTAGCAATTCATAACACAAATGGATCGGCATGCCAGAAATATTTCTTGCCTTCAAAGACATGGGTAGCACAAGTACTCACCATTATGAAATATAAAACAATTTGGAAGCTCAAACCATCGCATAAGCAAGTCATCTTTTGCATATCGCGGAAGCACACCAAACCTAGCTTTTTTTGTAGCATCAAATGTGAAAATTAACTTATTTTCTTTCACCATTTCCTGAAAGTTAACAAGTTGTTAATTATTATATGACCAACCATAAGATTAAGAGGTTTAGGATTTAACCACCATGATGCAAATCAATGAATTGGAATCCAATAAAACAACATATGTATGAACAGTATATCTAACTGAAGAGAAGTATATGACGGAAATAAAAGTTGAAAGTCCTTAATATGAATAAAGATGAATAAAAAATCCTCAAAATTCCCCCAGGCACGATTAAAGGAGTCATTTCTGTTTAGTCACATTTGTTTCTTTAGAGAGATTTTCCAGAATAACTTAGATTCCTTTTCTTTACGTCGTCCTTTAACTATTTCTAAATTTGAGTGGCAATACCTTTCCAAGAATGAATTGTTTCTCACACGAGATTACTAATGGGAAATGTACTTTTCTATGTTGTGTACATTCCTGTTGCTTTCTTATAATACCATTGGCAGGAAATGGAACACAGGGTGTATTTGTAAAAGGAAACTATGGGAATGTTGGTAGCATCAGATGGTGCAGGCCAGCCTATCATAAGATAACAACATACATAGCAAATTACAAATGAAAAAAAAAAGGGGGAAAGATACCAATTTCCTGAACTTGAGTTTGGGAGATGAGCCTGGCTTCAATAGTTTATGCCACTAGTTATGTCTTGGCTAGTTTACATACAATGGATTACTTCGTAATTCAGTAGCATGAGTTATCAGGATTGACAATATAAAATTAATAACAAAATATTTTAAATAAGTGCCATACCTTTGGTTTAAAATATAAAGGAAGATCCATGAAAATTGCATAATTTTCAGTAATCGCAAAGTCATGCATCATGACCGGGTTTGGAATTGTGATTGGTACTGGGTCATGCATGAGGCCATCCTTGGAAATAACTCTGTAAGTAACATATGGTGGTGTATGGGAATAACCAAATGTAAACATTTCGCCTGCATGCAGGAAACTGATCAGCACAGATTACTTCATCATATTTCAACAAATTTAGTGGTTGTCTTTTAGGATGCTTATACCAGTGACTGGATCAACCTTTGGATGAGCAGTGAAGGAGTGCGTTAATCTCTTGTCATAATCCAGCAGACCAAGTGTCTGTAAATCTCCATCCTCCAACACTTTTATAACATCTACATTACACAAAACCAGCTACTCAATGAGTTTTTCCTTCTATTTCCGTTATTCAGTGGGGATTGGGGGAGGACAATTGAGGCGACCTTTCCTTCGCCATCAAGATCTTTAGACTGACATTTGAGGAGACGATATCTGAACTTGATAGAGAGAAGGTAAACTTACAAGGTTTATCTGCCTCCGAAAGTGCTAGCAGCTTCCCATGGTGATATATGAGAGCCGTGTTACCTAGAAAAGTTATTGATAATCAGCTTCAGACAATCAAAACTTAAGTTCCATACAAAGGAAAGCAGTAAAATCAGCTAATGCATATTTG